AGGGGGAGGGGGGGGAAGGAAGTTGAGATCTTGGCAACAGAAGGCATTTTTAACCTACCTCATTTTCCAGTCTTGATTGTTATTCTGGCAGCATTTCCAAAGCTCAGTGAAATCAGTAGGCTCCATTCTGTTTACTTCAGTAGGCTGTGAATTGCTCCTGGAACAAAAGATGGCAGGAAACAGTTTGGTTTGCCTCGCAGCATGTGTAACTCCCTCATCATTCAGGTCTTATAAGCTTGGAGTCTTTGTTGGTTTTTAGACAGCTCCAGTGAATCCACTGAAAACAAAGTGACTGTTTTAGTGGCTTTTTAAGTCTCAGAGGGTGTTTATGAACTACATCAGAATGCTTAAAAATCAAAACCTTTTATCAGGCACTTTCAATGGTAACAAAGGTTTTATTTTTTTTTAAGATGTTGTATAGAAATGATTGTGCAGGCAAGTGTTAAGCCAGGTTCTGCTCCTATTTAGAGTATTTAGCTTTTGAATACTGTCAGTGGATTTCAGTAGATTTTCACTGGCATGTAACTGATGTGGTTTTTTTTGTGCTGTGTGAAGTTTATTTCACATCCTGTATCAAGCATGATTACATTGAGATGAAGCAAAATTATGAAGGGAGAAAGAACAAAAGAAAAAAAGTACGTCTTTCTAATTTTATGGTCTCATTTTCTGTCACTGTCAGGTTACTGGTTGTACAAATTTTCACAGAGACTGCTTAAATTATTTTGCTTTTGCTTTAATGTGATTTTCATTGCATTATACTGGCTTTGTTTTTTCAGAAATTCAGTGAAGCAAAGTAGTATTAGCAGTCTAGACTTGTGTAATCTCATGCATTAAACAATTTGATTTAAAAACATACCTTTTTCTTTTGTAACCATCTTCCGTATTTATTTTATTTCTCTCTCCCCTTCACTCTTTTTCATATGCTTTCATTAGCACCATGCCCAGGTAGGTATCACATAGCATGAAAACATGTTGTCTCTATATCCTTTTGTGGCACCTGTCTCTGTTCATCCATTTTGGAGGCCTGCTGTATGCCAGAAAGGTGATTTGGAGAAGAACCAAATGAACGACGCTGCTGTTGGAGATAGTTACAGTCACCACTACCTATCATACTCATTGGAGAATGCTGATCCAACAGTACTCGGTGTCTAGAAGGGTCACAGAATGACACAGAAACTTCCCCAATTCCCGTACAGGCAGCGTTGGCAAGGAGCAGGGAAGCTGCACTAGATCACAACAGCTGGTAGCTGTCCCTCTGTTACCATGCTGCCATTTTCTCTGTGTGGAGAAGCAGTGGTAGAATAAAAAATCAAAGAGAATGGACTGCAGTACCTGGATTCTCCCTCTGGATATTCAGAGCCAGAACCAATTCAGGCCATGTCAAAAGACTCCATTTCATTGTAAGTCCCTTCCACCTTTCTAGTCTATGACAGGTGTGAGGAAGGCTTTGATCTTTGAATACAAAAATGTTTTCAAGGCAGGTTTATACATTTTTTCAATGATACCGGGTTCTTTTCCCAGCTTCTGAAACAACATATAGTTCCCACGACAAGAGATATGCTCAGCTGGACTAGAGGTTGCTAGAGCTCTGTCCGGCAAGTGGATGTGTGCCGCAACACGGTCTCCCAGTCGTCCCGATTAGAAACTGGGCTAGCGTATGCTGCCCTTATTTTCTGGATACCACCTGGGCTTTATTCAGGGCTTAGAAGAGGAGAGTGATACATGCCCTGTGCGTTACCTAACACAGGCAAGACACTCTTTATCTTCAGGAGCTCTGTAGCATTCCTCGGTTCAAGTCTCTGGGGCCCAGTAGAGCGTTATTGACCCCACAGCCCCTGTGACTTAAGATTTATCAATCAGATTTGGAAAGAATCTGTATGTAGACATTAATTATGTCTCTGTGATTTAGACTGGTTTTTTTTACAGGATGCCTGAAGACTTATTGCAATAATAAACAATAAGTTCCGGTCAGTGCCACTACACTTCCGTAAATTGACTGTTGTTTCAGTCAGTACCTTTGTTTTCAAGTCTAAGAAACACGGAACTTTTAACTGCTGGCTTGCTCTTCATTTAGCTGTTACAGCATACAGAAGAGGGGCAGTGTCATCTGAACGCTAGTTTTGAAATTAAGTGTAGTAGGAAGTTTAAACTTCTCATTTACCGCAGAACTCGGTCATGCTTATGCATACCTTGCTTGTAGATAAATTCCGTACCCTCAATATATTGCATATTTACTGGAGCTTACGTACAGGTACTACATAGTGGATACGTGCTGGGCTACTTGTAGTGGTGGTAGTAGCAGTGCCAGGTGCTTGCAGGAGAATACAGACAAAACCATCATGCAGATAACGAGTCAAATCTAGTATGTACTTTCTTTCCTTCAGTGTCTATCCAGGACATGACATTAGCTGACTAGCAGAACCTACAACTTGGATGGTGGACCTCTCACAAGCATTGCATGGCGCAGTGAAGCAGTTCTGAAAGTGTCAAACATTGAAATGAATAAAGGATAATGATGGCAAATGGGGTCTGCTTCTGAGGCTTAGTTTTCAACTAAAGAACACATGCTCACTGAATACTCTTGTTGTGAACAAGCAAAGTGTACTCTGCCTACCCAATTCACACTAAAATGTTTAACCAAAGATTCCTCAGTCAAGATTCCCTTTCATGATTTTTCCTGAAATGTTATGTGCAGACAGTTAGGGTGAACATCTGTCCCTGTTGAAATTTTATTCGTTATTTTAATGGAATCAGGATTTTATTTCAGAATGCATAATTCCAAGAATACCAGCCTTACATGTCTCACCTCTTCTACTTGTCTGGGTGAAAAACATTTCATGACATGCAAGAGAGATTATTTATTGTTGGTTTGTTTCTTTTCTCCAGACTTTCCTAAGGCTGATACTTGTGTGATAACTGTCTTTGCTTTCAGTTTTGTACAGCCCATCTGTAGTATACTAAATAGGCCATTGGTATAAGTCAATGATCAATAGCATTGACTATTATTCAATGTCATGTATTTCTAATAAAATACCATAACCATTTGCTTCTAAAAATGGATGAAAAAAATACTGAGTGAATGTAGCTATTGTTAAAAAAGGCTGACTGATCTGAATTGGATGGTAAAATATGCTTTCCACAAGATCTGCTTTAAAGCCCTTGAATCTCGTGTCCATAGTGTATACATGACTTTTTTTATTGCTAACCACTGAAAATGAATTATCCCTTAAAAATCTATGTGTCTAGATAAATGGCCTATTGTTCTGATCCAGTGTGTTAGTCATTATGAGTACTACTCATGGATGTGTAAGCCATGAAAATAAAACTGCTTCCTTCTGTTACATGTACTGTATCCCTCAAGATAGAGAACAACATCACAGAGTACACGTACAACATTTGAAGGTGGTTGATCTGTTTTTAAAAACCAGTATTTTAATACTGCTGCTAGTAAATATTTAAAGAACAAAACTAGTGCCGTTTGGTAGCAGAAACCCTATTTACCTCAGTATGTCCTTCTGTGGTGTCTTACTTGTCTTTTTTTGCTTTTTGCTAGTGGATACTGCAGTTACATTCTGAGCCAGTGCTTGGAAGCAGCTTATTTACTGCCTTGCGTCTCTCATTGCTACAGCAACCAGTTTTCTGTAGAGCTGTGTGTACTCACAAAGAAAACAGTGCTCACATTTGGACTGCCTCTCTAAAGATGCTGTTGGCATACAGAGGAAGAATTTTGTTTTACACAGGAGCTTGCGGCTGGCCACAATTCACCTTGCTGTGTGTACCTTCCAGGGGACAATATCAAGCTTACTTATTTATAGTTTTAAGGGGAGAGAGTAGATCATTACAAAGCTTCAGAAAGAGTCTTTTCAGCTTTTCTTCAGATGTTAGCATTCTGGTTTTCCATAGTGGTTTGCTTCTGTGACGTAGCAGGAGAAAGAACTTCTCCAAAGAGCCTTACTTAAAAGAAATTAGTGCTCTTTATTATAAGGAAACTATCGTGCCACAAAGCCAAGTATAAAGTATTCATGAGTATAAAATAAACTGTCATCTAGATCAATCTCTAGGTTCTGCATTTTGAAGCAAATAAGTCAGTCCAAAGACTTTGTGGCCCTTGGTCAGAAAGGTGGCATTACACAGATTTGTAAAGCTCTGTTTTTCCCGCTGTGACTATTATCTACTCCCCCTGGAAGCTGCATCATATTGCTAATAGCACGCTTTTTTCATTCTCCCACCCGATCTATCATGACACCTTTACAACATCACCTGTACTGCTGATATATTGCTATGGCATCCTACCAACCTACCAGCCTGCGATCCTTCAGTTCAGACAGGTCCCACACTTTGAGCCATGCCTCCTACCTGAGGGACAGTGCCATGATCGACGATACGGTTGTGATCCCCAGCCAGCAGGTAAGCAACTTCAGTTCATTTATCGGTTGGATGAATGCGGAAATATAAAAGGATTATGGATTAGATTGTCCTGATGATACAGTGTCATGTATGCTGCTTTCTTTATGTTAATATAAATATCTCTAATTTTCATTGATATTTGATGGCATATTATGCTGTGCAATATTAAATTCTATTCTGAAATAAATGGGTAAGCTGTGTGAATATAGTACAGGGATTGTCTTTATAATATTCTCCCTTTTAACTATTTTTTGAATGATGCTAACAGCCGTTGGGCTAAATATTCAGGTGATCTAATGATTTCAAGGCCATTGTCCTCAAAGATACTATTCTGAAGCATGCTTGTAGTTTAAAAAAAAAAAAAAAAAAAAAAATTAGGAAGTGCCACTTCGGTAAACCACAGCATTCATTTCACTGGGACCACTAACATATGATTACTTTGAGCAAGTACAAAATGTTACAATGTGGGGTTTCTAATATCTTAATGCTATTATTACTCTTTTGTTTCCTTTCTAAGAAAAGTTAAACGGTTTAGGCACTACTATGCAAAATACATCTTCTTATTGTTCGTTGATTAATTGATTTTATTGTAGTAAAAAGGAGGGTTTTTTGCTTACCAAGGTAACAACTCTGGCCAAAGAAGCTGAAAGGAATTCATATCGCTTAAGCTGGGGCCCTGAAAACTTGGACAATGTGGCTCTTTCTTCCAGCCCAATTCATTCAGGGTGAGTGTATCAATTAGCATTATACTAAAAAAAAAGAAACAGAATACCTGCAGTGGCAGCAGCTTGCACTAATGCTTAACTAGGAGTTATATTTTAATTCATTGCCTCCTAGAGCTGTCAATAAGTTGTTATGATCCCTTAAGCTCCGACAGTCAAGCAAGCCTGAGTACCAAGACTATCTGCTGAAATCGCTGCAAGTCAGTGAGCTTTCAGTCAAGTTGGAGAGGAATGAATGAGATAATTGACACATACACATGTGCGTTTCTGTGAATTTTATGGAGAAATAAACACAGTGCCTTTTTAAAGTTAGTAATAGTTGAGTCCAAGGGCCTAATCACTCCAGGTGGAGAGTACCTCCTATGCTAGTGAAGTAGTTTAGGTAGGTGCCAACTCTAGTGTTCGTCGTGATTACCAAAAAAAGAAACCAAGGATTTTGAATTACATGAATTGTGTAACAGACAGGCAACCTAAACATCATGTGCTTTACATGTATTTGGCCACGACGTTCATGTATTCTCACAACTGACTCTATAAGCATTTGCATTTAGGCAAGCTCGTGGAAATGGAGTAACACAGGTCAAAGCACAGGCCCAGCCAAATTCATACTTACAAAGCTTGTGTGACTGGCCTCAGAATCTGCGAGTGCATTTGTTTCAAGTGCTTTTACTTGCTGTGTTTTCAGTAATTTTATTCTTTACACTGAATTCCACACTTGTGTCCTGCTGTCAGATTTGATGAGGTATGTGCAGATGAATTCATACAAAACTGATGTCATGAAAAATGATGTCATTTCATTTCTGTGGAGCTACGTTGTACACGGCGTGGCTGGACATCACAAAGAGAAAGATTTTTTTGTTAGTCTCAAATGAGTTTGCAACAATATTACAGTCCTCCTCTTTCAAAAAATGACACTGGAGTCCCATTTGGAATGACAGGCAGTCCTGGTCTAAAAGAGGAGCAATATTGTCGTAACTGCGATTGCAAATTGACTGATTTGTGACATATATGAGAAGTTTATTTGTTAGCTGGTAGCAGGATATTTGGCTGTGACCAGTGTTGTTTGGATTTGCTTTTCTTGAGCTCTAAAACTAACAAATTAAATGAAAATACTCAATGTGTACAGTATGTATGTGTTTATATGTATGTCAGTAAGTCAGCTTTAAAATTGTTTTGGTGGTTTATTCTAACCCTAAATAGTTTACAGACTTTTTCCAAAGGATGTATTACTTTTGACTTTCAGAAAGGTAGGTCTTCCAGTAATCGCAGAGGATGAATTAAATACTTTCTAGAAGCGTGGCATTTATTTCTTGGATGTGCGATCGTTTTGTGGTTTTCTTTTAACAAATATTAGTGATATTGAGATCTTTTTGGATGACCAGGATGCTAGTGGTAGGATAAGAATATCTGATTTTAATAGGAGCAATGCTCTCTGCAGCCTTGTATGAAATAGTGACATGTAACATGACACAAATTATGTTTTTCTTTTTGTACATACCAACCAACTAACTTGCCACTAAATATTGTAATAAAGAAACCTATAATAGTGATTGCTCAGCCTTTGGAAAAGACTGTACAACACTTCATTTTTATCTTGCTTAGATTTGTCTGAGTCACTAAGTTACCCTAAACTGTTGGGGTGCATCTTGTTTACATCGATTTTTTTTTTTTTTTTTTTAGGAAAATACATTGACTACTAGAGTTTCACTTTAAGACCTCATTTTAAAAGTGAAACAATTGTAGAAATGCTGTGTGCATGATTGTTGGATTCACTTAGCTGGAACAACAACAAACATGTTTGTTGTTTATACCCCTCTCATCACCTACACCTTCCTTCCTACACAGACACACACTATTACTAGGTTCTTACGAACTAGCAACGCTGCTGACATTTCAGGGACGTGCATTGTAGTAGCATATATCTGTCATGAAAGAAAACTCTTAGTGTTTGAAAAGAAATCCTACATAAACATTGTTAGTGGCTTTAAGCAAGGGCATGGTCTTGGTTTTGCCCAAGACACTGGAAACATATTGAATTCAGACCGTGTTTTCATAAAGTAACGCATCAGCAAAGTATTGGACGGTAATTTATTTGGCACAGATGATCTTAATTTTGTATTCTGTGCAATCTGAGAAAAAAAATGACACTGTTCTCTCCCTGCACTACTTCAGTGGCTAACCCAAATTGTTGTTGGGTTCTTACTGATCTCCCATTGTAGGGAAGTGTTTCTGTGGATCACAGTGTAACACCCGCAAGCAAAAGGATAAATTTATAGAGAACTGCTCTCTCAGTGTGGTATTTCACAGGCATATATTTCAGCCGTTGCATAACTAACTAAAACTTCTGAAATGTCTGAAATTTCAGAGGGGGAAAATGTTTTAACCATCCATTTAAAATTTAAATGTAACTATTGTTTCAGTATGTTGATAATTTCATCAATAAGGAAAGAAAAGCACAATCTTTGGTCAGAGTCTTTGGCAGCCATTTTGAAAACAAGAAAACAATTATCTTTTAAGAGGTAATGTTCTTTTGGTGCTCACAATCTCAACATGAACATCTCCTGCTTCATTTTACACAGCTAACAGTTTCTGAATAGTTTCATACATTGGCTGAAGGAAAAAGTATAAATTCCTACATTTAAACTTCCTTTCAGTGAATCAGATTTGCTTCTCCTGATAAAACGATCTGATCTTACATATTGAGCAAAGTTAAATATCTCTGAATATGCCAGAAAGTTTGGGTGCTGAATATCCAACAAGATAGAGTTTTACTGCTTTGCTGGTAATATTAGGGGATATTATGTATAATTTCCTTTTTTTTTGCTGAAGTGTTATGAGAGACAGGACTAATGCCTACATAAATGCAAATGTGTGTCACAGTTTTAATCTCATACCTCACAGCATCCTATTGTGGAAGAACATGTATATTTTCCTTAAGTTGGAAGGCAAAAACCCACTGAACTGTAAGATTTCTTTTCACTTGCAGCATTTAGACATTGTTTGACAGGTTCATATTCTTATGTGTCTATAACGCACAGTAAAATGTGAATGGTAAAGATAAGGCTGACTGTAAGATTTTAAGGTATAAATTATGTGCAAAATTATGTTGTTTTCATACCTGTGTTCTGGAGATAGAGTGAAAAAAATGTCCATGATTTAGTTGTATAGATTATGTTTTGAAGAATTGTACTGACGAATATGTAAAGGTGTGGTACACAAGAGAGGCAAATCTGACATACTGTCAGGGACATGGCACTGTGAGGAAGGAGCTCTGAGTTCATGCTTTGATAGTAACTTGCTTTTGTGTTCTAGAGCAAGATATGTAGCACCTCTGCAGTTTTTCCAACTCCGGCTTGCTCACAGTAAAACTCCTATTTGATGAAAGCTATTGATTTCTTTTACACAATTTGATGAAGAAGTCTCTGTTTGACTAATTAATGATCCAAGTGTACCAGTACTTGTATCTGACAAGATTAAACAGTTGGGATATTATTAGTTGTTGCTTCCATCAGTGAATAAGGGAGAAGGAGATGAGGGAGTGGGCAGCTCGAACTGTGACAAATAATGTGAATTATCATTCTTAGCTGCATGTCTGCAAAAAAGGAGACTGGATCCTTGCTAACAAGGTAAACAAAATATATTTCAAGTGTTGTATTTTGAATCCATAATATTGTTTTCCCCAATGTGAGATGAAATTCCTGAAAATAGTTATGGAAACAGGACCTGGCAGCGACCAGCTGATAGTCATTTCTAAAATCTGAAAGTCTAAATGGTTTCAAATTACACTGTAGCCTTTGTGACCTTTCCTCAGAAAGTTGCAATAAGGAAGAACAGCAGGTGTGTTTCATTAATGGCAAATGGCTCTTCATGTCCGTGGAAGACAATGCCAGTGGAGATGTATATAATAAAAAGTGACATTAAACACGTAACTGGCCATGTGACACATTACTGAAAGCCTAAACAGGTCAAACTGAAAGTTTGGAATTTGTCATTCTGTAGTGCTGAACAAAAGGAGGACAAGAAACATGTTGAAATGGGAGAAAGTGGAGGACAGAATGTATTGATAGGAAATTTGAA